TCCCAGCTTGGCAGGAGTTCATCCGATATTTCATATTTCGATGCTCTAGAGGTATCACGGTGACCCGTCGCATGTGTTGGATTTCAGTTCAGTTCAATTGGACAAGGATCTATATTATGTTGAGGAGCTAGTGGCAATATTGGACAGGTAGGTTCGAAAGCTAAGGTCAAAGAACAATGCATCAGTGAAGGTTCAGTGGCATCGTCAGCCGGTCGAAGAGGCGACATGGGAGACCGAGCAGGATATGCACAGCCGTTACCCTCATCTTTTCACTGCTTCAGGTATGTCTCTATGCTCATTTGAGGATGAACAAATATTTAAGTGTAGGAGTATGTAATGACCCGGACGGTCATTTTTAGAATTTACGCCCTGATCCCCTACTAACTGCCTTCCCCGAGTTTGTTTCTTCTATTTTAATTTGCCAGGATGTTTGGTTTTGAGTTTCGGAGTGTTTTGGGACACTTAGTCCCTAAATGAGAGCTTAAGCTTTAGAATTTGGATAGTAGTCAGAGCACTGTGAAGACGGTCTCGGAATGGAATTCCTTCGGTTCCATTATCTCCTTTGGGTGATTTTGGGCTTAGGGGTGTGTTTGGTTTGTGTTTTGGAGGTCCGTAGCTTATTTAGGCTTGAAATGCCGAAAGTTGAATTTTTAAAGTTTCCGGTTCGATAGTGAGATTTTGATATCGGGGTCGGAATGGAATTCCGGAAGTTGGAGTAGCTCCGTAGTGTTGAATATGACGTGTTTGCAAAATTTCAGGTCATTTGGATGAGGTTTGATAGACTTTTTGATCAAAAGCATAATTTGAGAGTTTTTGGAGTTCTTAGGCTTGAATCCGATGTTAAATTGGTGTTTTGATGTTGTTTTGAGCGTTCCGAAGATTGGAACAAGTTTGAATGATGTTTTAGGATTGGTTGGCATGTTTGGTTGAGGTCCCGGGGGCCTCAGGTGTGTTTTGGATGCTCAACAGGTCATTTTTGTAACTTAGAAAACTGCAGAAAAAGTTGCAGCAGTCAGTTCTGGTTTCCTTCTTTGCGTTCGCGAGTGGAGGTATTGCGTTCGCGAAGAGGAACTGGGGCTGGTGGAGGATTTATGCTTCACGTTTGCAAAAGTAATCCCGCGTTCCCGAGGCTATGGGACTTTATGCCTACGCGTTCGCGAAAGCAGTCTCGCATTCACATAAGAGAAGAGAAAATGATCATCGCGTTTGCGGCTCAGGCGTCGCGTTCGCGAAGAGAAAGAGTGGCCAGTGGAATTTTAGTGCGTCGTGTTCATGACTGTTGCCTCGTATTTGCGAAGAAGAACGCGTCTGGGCAAAATATTTAAGTTCAAAATCGAGGGTTTAACCATTTTTGTGAAAACTAGAGCTTGGGAGCTCGGATTTGAGCAAGGTTTTGAGGGATTTTCATAGATATTGATTGAGTAACGATTCTTAACTCCTTTTTGCTTGTAACCTATTAATCTATTAATGAATTCATCATATAAATTCGAAATTTAGATGAAAATTGGGGGGAAGTTCTTAGACCTAAATTTCGAGTTTTGATTGAGGATTTGACATTGGATTTGGATAATTTTGGTATGGTTAGACTCGTGAGAGTATGAGGATTTTAAAAATTTAAATTTTACTCAATTTCAAGACGTGGGCCCAGAGGGCGTTTTGGTCATCTTTTTCTAATTTCGTGTGTTAGCTTAGAATTAATTAGTGGAATCAATTAGTTAAAGTGTTATTTACATTATGCAATTGATTTGAATAGATTTGGGCCATTTGGAGTCGAATACTCGTGGCAAGAACGTGGTTTCGGGTTGATTTTGAGCCAGTTCGAGGTAAGTGGCTTGTGTAACCTTGTGTGGGTGAAAGTCCCCTTAGGATTTGGTATTGTTGATAATTGAAATGCCTTGTACGTGAGGTGACCAGTGCGTACTTGTGCTCTTTGTTGAAAATCATTTTTTCATTAAGTAACTTTAATTGTGTTTACCTTTCCTTTCTATTCTACTTGCAATTCAAGATATATATATATATATNATCCTTGGAATACCGAGAGATCTCCAGCATATATATTGAGGATACTAAGAGATCCTCGGGATGCTGAGAGATCCCCCATCACATATTGAGGATACTAAGAGATTCTCGGGATATCGAGAGATCCTCGGTTGTTATTTCCGTGTTGAGCTGTATTCCTTTCCGTGATTATCTTGTCTATGTTATAATTGATGTTGTTCTTTCTATCCTTTGTTATTTCTTACTGTTGCACTTAATTATACTGTCTTATTTTATACTGTTATACATGTTATTTTATTTAACCTCAGTAGGGCCCTGACCTTCCTCGTCACTACCCGACCGAGGTTAGGCTTGGCACTTACTGAGTACCATTGTGGTGTACTCATACCCTTTCTGCGCATGTTATTCATGTGCAGATCCAGGTACTTCCACTCAGTCTTATCACACTTGAGGCGAGGCATTTTCATAGAGACTTTGAGGTATATCTGCCGCGTCCGCAGACCAAAGAATTCCTTTCTATTCTCAGTACTAGTATAGCCCTTCAGTATTTTCCTTATTGATAGATGTTTCTAGAGTTAGAGCTTTTTTTTATGTAAACTCTTAGCTTGTGATTCATGTGGTTCCGGATTTTGGAAGTGTTCGTTGAGATTTTGTACTGTTATATGCCAGGCGGCATCTTAAACACTATTTCATTTGTTATTTCGGTTTCTAATTATTTTCTTTACGCAAATTGTTTCTTTTCCGCATTTTGTTAGGCTTACCTAGTTGTAGAGACTAGGTGCCATCACGATAGTTCATGAAGGGCGAATTGGGGTTATGACACAAAAGCAACTTTTAGCGACCCTGCTTGTAGTACACCAGGCTATCAACTCCAAAGTTTATTTATTTCTAACTATCTCCGACTCGATGGTTCGAATGCAGTGCAATGCCCAACATGGAACAAGATTGGGAGTTGGAAATCCATGTTTTCATTGCCAATTCATTCAAACATAAGAAGTCAGTTGAGAAGAGTATACATAGTAATGTTGTAGACTAATGGGCAATTTTCTATCAGTTCCTAAATGCGTGGCGGTAAAAATAAAGTTGATAGACTAATATATGTAGGTAACTAGATAAATCAGTAATAAAAGAGTAAGAATGCAAATCCCAAGACTAAAAAAACAGAATCGATAATGTAGCATGGTTGGATCATAAATTTGATATTCTACCTCAAAATGTAGCACGACTAAACCAGAAGAGGACGTTGGAGATCCCAAATCTTCAAAATTGAATCATGTCAGAATAATTTTCTAAAGGATATAAATAAAAATAATCATAAAATATTTATAAACAAAAAGGCATTATCACTCATTCAAAAAAGAAATAACTTAAAAGAATTTCATAATTTTGTTATTTAATCATCTGCTTCCATCCGTCCCAATCAGTATCATCAAACATGTCCTCCTCTTCCGATGTTTCCACAATTGTATCATGTGAATTTTGTGCATGAGATGGAATATCACTGATATCAACGCATACATCTTCTCTTGACCATCTAATGTCAATATCAAGTAATATAGATGATGAACCAATGTCATTATTAGGTTCCTGCCAAAATGTGTCTGCAACATTGGGACAATTCTCTTCCTCCAGATCATACAAATCAATGGGTACTTTACTGCTTGCATAATAAACATCTTTCTCAATTGGATCCTCCACATAAAAAACTTGATAAACTTGTGATGACAACACAAAAGGGTCATCTGTACTGCATAATCTATTGAAGTACACCTGAGTTAACCCATAATCATCTATTTCATTATGAAACCAATCACATCTAAATATTACAATGCTAAAACAACCCCAATAACCAATTTCAATGATATCCTAAATCTCTCCATAATAGATAACCTCGTCATCGATGGGATTTTGGTCCCTAGCACTAGCAAAAATATCTGTTGTTGCCGATAAAGTCACTCCACTATTTTGAGTCTTGCCTCGGGAATCCTGTTCTTTAGTATGAAATCGGTATCCATTAATAAAATATACCGTATATCTTTTGGCTACCATATTAGGTCCTTTGGCTAGCCATCTTAAATAATCTGGCAATACAATATTTTTAACTTTCTCTTTCGAACAATTGTTGAATTCCCGACTATGATCCCTCGCTCTTACCCATGCATTTGATCTAATATGATTAACAATTAAATTCTTATGTTCCATGCAATCAAGAACATTTCATGTTTAATCATATAATAAAGAAAAAACTATATAAAAAATAAATAAATATTAATATAATTTATCTTACTCGATAAATATTTCCATTTGTTTATCTCCAGCATTGAACAGAGCATATCGATGTGCTTCAAAGCATAACTGCGAATCCATGAGAAAAGTATTTTATTTTTTGCTTCCAATTGGATGACCTATATTAGGGAATATAGGTGACATATTTTGAGAGTACTCATCATCCACAGTTTGGTACCTACTAAAATTTGTCTTCACGCCATCATGTATATATCTCGAACAAAAAGTCAAGCACTCATCGGCCAAAAAACCCTCTGCTATTGACGCTTCTGGACTAGATCGATTACGTACAAATGACTTGTACTTACATAGGTTCCTCTCAATGGGATATATCCAACGAAGATGAGCCGGACCTCCAAGCTTAATTTCATTCACTAAATGAATAGGCAAATACGACATTATGTCAAAAAATGTTGGATGGAAAATCTTTTCAAGCTCCCATATTATTTCAACAATTTCAGACTGCATTGTTTCAAGATCTCTTCACCTTACGACCTTACTACATATAGCTCTAAAGAAATTTCCCAACCTACTCAAGGCCAATAAAACATTCTTGGTAAACACTTTTCTAACAGCAACCTGGAGCAAGTAATGCATTATAAAATGGGCGTCATGACTCCTGTACCCTGATATTTTCATATCCTTCACTTGCACGCGTTTTGAAATATTCGAAGCACAAACTTTTGGTAATTTAGCATTTTTTTATGACAATACAAAATAAACTTTTCTATTTTGGTTCCATGTAGAAACAAGATTTACCCAAACTTATAGTTCCATCATTATTTATTCTTGGTTATATATCTTTTCGTATCCCCATTTCCTGTAAGTCATAGCGAGATTTTTCATGACCCTTTGATTTTCCATCTATTTCTAATAAATTCCCAAGCAAACTATCACATATGTTTTTCTCGATGTGCATCACATCAAGATTGTGCCTCAATTTGTTATGCACCCGATATGGCAATTCAAAAAAATGAATCTCTTTTTCCACGGACCCTTATCACTCCGAGGCCTTTTTTAGTGCTCTTCCCAAAGATATTGTTGAATTCAAGTAGCTCTTCAAATACTTCTTCACCTGACAAAGGAGCAGGTGCAAGTCTATGATCCTCCTTACCATCAAAAAGGCTTCTTATCTCTTCTGAATGGATGATAACGAGGCAAAAATCTTCGTTAAGCCAAGTAACACATCTTGTGACTATGTTTGAGATATTGAGAACATGTGTCATAATTTCAAGTGGGGCATGCTAATCTCTCCTTAGTGCTCCATCCTGAAAGCATTGCTAATGCTGGAAAGTCTCTAATTGTCCACAATAAGGCATCATGCATTTGGAAAGCTTGGTTGGTTTCAACATCAAATGTATCTATCCCAATTTCCCATAGCTCCTTCAATTCTTCAATTAATGGTCGTAGGTACACATCTATATCATTTTCGGGAGATGATGAACTTGGAATAATCATAGAAAATATTATATACTCTGGCTTCATGTAAATCAATGGTGATAAATTATAGTTTATTAACATAATGGGCCACGTGTTATGAGAAATGGTCATGGTCCGAAACGAGTTGAAACCATCACTTGAAAGACCCAATCTAACATTCTGAGCATCTTTAGAGAAGTCAGGGTGCAAAGAATCAAAAGCCTTCCAAGCTTCCCCATCAACAGGATGTCTTATATTACCATCATTGGGTAGTTTATTAGCATGCCATCTCATTGCAGCAGCCGTTTTAGGACACATGAATATCCTCTGAAGCCTAGGCTTTAAAGGAAAGTACCTTAAAATCTTTGCAGGGATTTTAGAGCTTGCTTTAGTCAAAGGACCAACACACTTCCATCTGAAGACCCACAAATCGAGCAATTATCGGCACTCGCATTTTCTTTCCAAAATAACATGCAATCATTAGGGCATGCATCTATTTTTTCATAATGAAGACTCAAATCTTTTATCATGTTTCTAGCCTTGTTGAAAGATTCTGGTACTTGAGCAAAGGGAAATGCCTATTTTATCAACTCTAATAAATCAGAGAAAGCCACATTACTCAATCCATGCAAGGATTTAAGCAAGTACAATCGAATAGTGAAACTCAGTTTACTGAAATTTTCACACCCTGGATATAACTCTTGTTTTACTTCCTCCAGCAATTCGAAAAACTTCTTTGCATTTTCAGATAATCTTTCTCCAACTCCTTCTTCATCCCCTGCCCGACCCTCTATATTTCTAAATATATCATGAAGTAGTCCATCAATATCGTCCCGCATGGTAGAACCTTCATCATCATTGCTTGGATGAGGTGTATTTCTCAAGAAAAATCCTTCCCCATGAAAAACTCATTTGGTATAACCATCAACAAATCCATGAACAACCAAATGATCCTCCACCATATTTTTATAATACCAATAGCGATTCATGCACTTTTTTCAAGGGCATAATATTTTATTTCCTTGGGCGGCTCGTTCAAATGTCTTATCAAGAAAATCATTCACTCCACAGATATACTCATCCGTCCATCTCAAGAGATTCATCCAAGTTTTATCACCATTATCCATAGATATCCTATACGATAAAAGTAAATCATCAAAACTAACTAAAATAAACCGAAAGCATATTAATTTGACTCAAGAAAATACTCAAGGGAATTAATGAAAAACAAAGGCTATGGGTTGTTCTACTACTTGTATGTTGACACTCGCTAATGACACTTTGCATGCTGTTAACGTGGGAGATAGGGGGTTTGTAGTGATCAGAGACGTGGTAATTGTGTACAAATCTAAAATTCAGCAGTCGAGGTTTAAATGTCCTTTTCAGTTGGGGAATAGTAAAAATTCTAATTATCCAAGTGTTGCAGAGAAGATTAGTTTTTCGGTGAAAGCAGGAGATATAATCGTGATGGGAACAAATGGATTGTTCGTTATTGTTCATGATTTTGAGTTATAACTTGTTGTGAACAATGGAGTGGACTCGTGAGAATCGGATGCACCTGATACATTGGCTTAGAGTATAGCACAATATGCACTGGAGAATTCTAAGAACACAGAGCTTTACACGCCATTTGCTAGGGAATGTTCCAAAGCTGGATTTGAGTAGAGAGGTGGAAAGTATGATAATATAACAGTCATAGTAGCCCATATTTGGCCTTTGTAGTGCTCTATTGATGTCTAATCTAACTCTTTTTTTCTCTGGAGAAATTAGACTTCATAATTCTTTGTAGTTGTAAAAATTGATTAGAGATATAAGCAAGAAGCCTGTATGTAATTTGATTCTTTATATATGTTTAGTCCCCATATATCATTGATTCACTGTAATCAAAGTTTCTTATCTTCTCTTGCAAATTTCTATGGTTAACTTTTATTAAATTTTACCACTTTAAGTGGTGTTCAATTTGTTCTGTTTTTATTAAATTTTGCATCTTCATGCGCACATACAATATACAGAATTTTAAACCATTAAAAAAATATATGAATATAACTGCACCCAATTGTTTATACATCACATTCCTGAAAGTCCCAATATAACTGGTAATAGAGAAAATTCAATATCCTTAATCAAAAAAAGAAGTAATCTCTCTAAAACCATTGAAAATCAGATCTTTACTAGTAATAAATTATCAAACATTAGAAAAAGTTGTATTGTTGAATAGAAGAAAGGTGGTTAATGCATCCCCCTCTAAATCAGCTCAATGTAGAACCATAAACAACCAATTTTTTTATATATAGTAAAGGTAAAAACTTTGTTTTTCAACTTAATTTCCTGAAAAAAGGACCTTTTGAAGCATTCAATGCATACAGTCAAACAACAAGAAACAGAACCTTTTATACAACAAAACCAAGGGGGGAAAATTTCCAGTGAAACATATATCTCAAATAAGAAAAGAATTTACAGATAAATCCAGAACCAACATCAGAAAATCAAAAGCTTGAAACAAAGAAAGAAAAACCCAAAGAGATAGCAACCAAAAAAAAATAGGTCGACTCACAGAGGAAAAAGTATAAGAATTTCACTTGCAAACTGCACCAGATGAAGCAACAGATCTAAGGTTACCACCTGAAAATCCAAAAAAAGCGTTAGACAAAAGAATTGTTGATAAATCTTTTACCTATCTATACAAAAAACCAAGATAAAAGAACAATCAAAACAAGAAAAGTATACAAAAAGAATTACCTCTTAACAAGAAATGAATTTGGGGATTTGAGGAAGGAATACGGGAGAAGTGCCGGAGAAGCAACTGTCCTTGAATAAGTGCCGGCGAAGTGCCGGAAAGACCAACGGAATTGTCCTTGGGGTTTTGGGAACTCTAGGGTTTGATAATTATGGTGGTCTAATGAAGAGGTATTTAATGAGACTCGGTCACTAATCTTAAACTCGGCAAAGATGAAAAAGAAAAGAGATCAGAGAGGCAATTTTGAGTGTATCGACGAGGGAGTTCCGGTGTAACGATGGGGGAGTTTGGATAAAGTACTAGGGAGCTACATTTGGGTATATCAATACAGTTAGGCCAGTAATGTATTAAAATTAATTAAAAAAAATAAGAATATGACATGTCACTAATCAGCTTGGCGGGCCACTAAAAGTTTTAGCGGAAAAAACGAGGGGAATGAATACCCGTTCCCATAGCAATTTTTTCCCAAGACCGTTGCCATAAACATGTTTATTGGGACGGTTTACAAATCCGTTGCGACACAAAACTCTATGGCAACGGGATTGTTACATTTGCAACGGTTTGATGTCTAAAGTGTGTTGATACCTCCCACATTCTATTGTAACGGTTTGAACCGTTACTATATCATCTCTATGGCAACGGTTTGTGAACTGTTGCCAAAAAAACTGTTCCCATAGGCCCATTTCTGGTAGTGGAAGGGTGATGTCGTGCCATGCTATGAAAGAGTTAATGCATGAACGGTGATGCCATGCCATGTTATGAGAAAGTTAATGCACGAAGGGTGATGCCTTGTCATTTCTGTTGTTTCTTATGGTAAGTACGAGAGTAAAAGCACGAACGGTGATGTCGTGCACTTGTTTGCTGTGTTATTACTTTTATTGGTGCAAGGCATGTTATTTACTACGTTTCTTTACTGTACTATTTCAGGAATTGATATTCCTCTCAGCATGTTTCTCCCCCTTCCCATTAATATCTGCTAAATTTCCATTTGTTATTATCTTTTCGTATATGATTTAACTGCACAGGTTCATGTTATTATCGTGTCCTAGCCTCACCACTACTTCGCCGAGGTTAGGCTTGAAACTTACCAATACATGGGGTCCGCTGTACTGATACTACACTCTGCACTTTCTGTGCAGACTCCGATACTAGACCGCATTGATCAGAGTTGGGTTGCTACCTTCAGTCTATCAGGTGACCCAAGGTAGATCTGCCGGCATTCGCAGACCCATGAGTCTCCTTCTAGTTATCCTAGTTTCCCTGTTTTCTTTTATTTCGAGAACAAATGTATTTTCTTTAAACCAGTATTTGTAGTGACTCTTAGAATTTCGTGGATTATGACACTAGATTTTGGGGTAGTCGTGTATTAGTTTTTGGATTATTATAAATTTTTTTGCACTTCTTTACTTTGTTTTGGTTTAATTATTGTTATTTACTATTTTGGATAGTGGTTAGCGTAATAAATCTGTATGTGTTGGCTTGCCTAGAATTTTTAAGAGTTAGGCGCCATCACGATCCCGATGGTGGAAATCTGGGTCGTGACAAGTTGGTATCAGAGCACAAGGTTTCTTAAGTCTCATAATTCACGAACAAGATAGGCAGAGTCTGAGGGATCAGTACGAAAATGCCTGTGATTATCCCCTAGAGGCTACAGAGTTTAAGAATAACTTCACTTCAATTCTTCTCTGTCGTGCGATTTGATTCCTCAATGCTAATTGGACTTTCTACTCTTGTTATTTCACAGATGGAGAGAACACGTACCCCTTCATAACTTGATCAGTAGCCCGAGCCTCCAGTGGCAGCTCTTAAGAGGGGCCGAGGTCGTGCTAGAGGACGAGGTAGGGGCAGGGCTCAGCCTAGAGCTCGAGCAGCAACACCAGTAGCGGAGCCTCAGGTGGAGTTCGACGATGAGGTTCCAGCTTAGACCGTTCCGGCAGGGCCAGCTCAGGTTCCCTAGGGGTTCATCGCTACCCTGGTACTTCAGGATGCTTTGGTATATCTAGTCGGTCTTATGGAGAGTGTAGCTCAGACTGACACATTTCCTGTAGCACCAGCCGTGTCTCAGGCTGGGGGAGAATCCTAGAATCCCCAAACCCACACTCCGGAGCAGATGGCTCCTCAGTTTCAAACTCCGGTAGCTTAGTGAGTTGGAGTAGTTTAGCCCGCTATTATGGCACAAGCCGCTGGTGGATCAATCATGTGTTATGAGGCTTTGTTGAGGTTGTACATGTTCACCAAGCTTTTTATGGTTCATTACAGTGGGACATCTTGTGAGGACCCAAAGGATTATCTTGACCGCTGCCATGAGGTGTTGCTGAACATGGGGATAGTAGAGACCAATAGGGTCGACTTTGCTGTATTCTAGATGATATGGTCCGCCAAGAGATGGTGGAATGATTTTGTGTTAACTAGACCAGCTGGGTCACCTGCCTTGACTTGAGACCAATTCTCTCAGATATTTCTCGAGAAGTTCCTTCTTATCACTTAGAGAGAGAACTATCGCAGGCAGTTCAAGCATCTTCAGCAGGGTTCTATGACTCTCACTTAGCACGAGACTAGGTTTGTTGATTTGGCCCGTCATGCTCTTCTTATACTTCCTACCGAGAGAGAGAGACGGTGCGAAGGTTTATTGAGGGACTCGCTCAGCCTATCAGATTGCAGATGGCTAAGGAGATAGGGAGTTAGATTTCTTTCTAGGATGCAACCAATGTGGCCAGGCGAGTTGAGATGCTTTTAGCTCAGGGGAGTGGTCAGGGGTATGACAAGATGCCTCGTCATTCTGGTAGGTTTAGTGGTGCCTCATATGGAGGCAGAGATTCTTTTGGTAGAGGCCATCCTCCCAGGCCATTTCATTTAGCACTTCATGCTTCTCACGGTGCTTTAGGTGGCCATGGCTCTCATATGCAGTATTCTGATCAGCTAGCCTATAATGCACCACCAGCTCCTATCAGTGCACCTCCTCCCCACAATGTTGAGGGTGGTTACCCAGGACGTCAGGGTCAGTTTCAGGGTCAACAATCTCAGTAGTCGAGGTCTTGTTATACTTCTGGAGATCCAAGGCACATTGCTAGGTATTTCCCTCGAGCATCGAGTAGTTCTCAGCATCAGGGTTCTCGTGCCATGGTCTCTGCACCAGGTGTTCCATCACCCGCTCAGTCAGGTAAAGGTAGGGGTCAGACATCTAGAGCTGAAGGTCGAGGTATTAGAGGTGGAGGTCAGATCGGTAGAGGTGGAGGCCATCCAACAAGAGGCTATCCTAGGGATGCAGTTCAGAGTGGTGAGGCTCAACCCCGATGTTAATCTTTCCCAGCCAGGCCTGGGGCTGAGGAATCCGATGCTGTTATCATAGGTACAGTTTTATTTTGCAGTAGGGATGCCTCAATATTATTTGACCCAGGATGTACCTATTCGTATGTATCATCTTACTTTGCTTCATATTTGGTTGTGCCTCGTGATTCTTTGAGTGCTCTCGTGTATGTGTTCACACTGGTGGATGATTCTATTATTGTAGATCGTGTCTATCGCTTATGTATGGTTATTATTGGGGGTCTAGAGATCAGCGTAGATCTCCTACTTCTCGATATGGTTGACTTTAATGTTATTTTAGGGATGGATTGGCTATCACTTTATCATGCTATATTGGACTGTCACACAAAGACCATGACCTTATCCTTGCTGGGGTTGCTTCGATTGGAGTAGGGAGGGACTCCTGGTACTTCTACCAGTAGGGTTTTTTTTTATATGAAGGCTCGACGTATGGTCGAGAAGGGGTGTTTGGCTTACTTGGCTTATGTTCATGATTCTTGTGCGGAGGTTCCTTCCATGGATTCCGTACTAGTTGTTCGGGAGTTCCCAGAGGTATTTCCTACAAACCTTCTGGGGATGCCCCCGACAGGGATATTGAATTTTGCATTGATTTGGCTCTGGGCACTCAGCCCATTTCTATTTCGCCATACCAAATGGCCTGCTAGAGTTGAAAGAATTAAAGAAGTAGTTGCAAGATTTTCTTTATAAGGGCTTCATTAGGCCTAGTGTCTCGCCTTGGATTGTGGCAGTGTTGTTTGTGAAGAAAAAAGATGGATCGATGAGGATGTGCATAGATTATCGGTAGTTGAACAAAGTCACTATTAAGAGCAAGTATCCATTGCCGAGGATTGGTGACTTATTTGATCAGCTTCAGGGTACCAAGGTGTTTTCAAAAATTGATTTGAGGTATGGCTACCATCAGTTGAGGATTAGAGCATCCGATGTCCCTAAGACAACTTTTTGCACTCGGTATTGGCATTATGAGTTTCTAGTGATGTCATTTGGGTTGAAAAACGGCCGAACAAACTTAAGGATTTGATGAACCGTGTATTCAAGCCCTATCTGGATTCCTTTTTGATTGTTTTTATTGATGATATCTTGATCTACTCCCGCAGCCGAGAGGAGCATGAGCAACATCTTCGGATCATTCTTCAGTCTCTGAGAGATAGCTAATTATATGCTAAGTTTTAGAAATGTGAGTTTTGGTTGAGTTCAGTTGCATTCTTGGGTCGCGTTGTATCAACAGAGAGTATTCAGGTGGATCCTTAAAAGATTGAGGTAGTCAAGGACTGGCCTAGACCCACATCAGCTATAGAGATCTGGAGTTTCTTAGGTTTGGCAGGTTATTACTATCGGTTTGTGGAGGGGTTTTCATCTATAGCAGCCTGAATGACCAGGTTGACCTAGAAAGATGTCTCATTCAGGTGGTCGGACGAGTGTGAGGCGAGCTTTCAGAAGCTTAAGACAGCTTTGATTACGACACTGGTGTTAGTGTTTCCCCCAGGTTCTGGGCCATATATAGTATATTGTGATGCATCTCGTATTGGACTTGGTGCAATATTGATGCAGGGTGGCAAGGTTATTGCATTGCTTTACGACAACTGAAGATTCACGAGAAGAATTATCCAGCTCATGACTTGGAGCTAGCATCCATTGTTCATGCATTGAAGATTTGGAGGCACTATTTATACGGCATGTTGTGTGAGGTGTTCAGGGATCACAAGAGTTTGCAATCCTTGTTCAAGCAAAAGGATCTCAATTTAAGACAGAGAAGATGGTTGGAGCTATTTAAAGACTATGATATCACCATCTTGTATCATCCCGGGAAGGCCAATGTGGTGGCCGATGCATTGAGTAGGAAGTCATCTAGTATGTGTATTCTCGCGTATATTCCAGTCGATGAGAGACCGATTGCTTTTGATGTTGAGGCTTTGGCCAATCAGTTCATGAGGTTGGATGTTTCTGAGCCCAGTCGTGTTCTAACCTGTACAGTCGCTCGGTCTTCCTTGTTTGAGCATATCAGG